TCTTCTGAATCTGACATGAATGATGTATCTATGGCGAAGCTCTCATGGAAACCCTTGTCTACCCAACTGCCTATAGAGTAATCATCTTGCTTGTTTCTTGCAGCTGAGAAAGCAAAATTTGGATAGCAATGGTTTGGCAGGGCTCCATGTTTAGACTGGCTGTCGATTGATGCTTCGTATGCGGAATCGGTCGCTGGCTGGTTAATGGAATCGATCGATGATGATGATGAAGTGCTGATCGATCCGGAATAGTCAGTTTCGTACTCAGCTTCACATTCGCAAGGTTCAATCAATTTAGCCTTTCCAGTCTCCAATGAATGTATATGTTTCTTAAAAACACGAACTAGGTCATAAAAAACATATGGATCAATCAAAGTAAGACAAAACATGTTGGTGTTCATGTCACAAACTGCTCCAATTGTGGCCATAAAATCTCTCCCCAGGAGAAGTGAAGAATTCCAGTTTAACTTGATATCCAAGACATGAAAATCTACAAGAACTATTGCATTACCAATCTGCACCTCCAGGTCCCTGATTATACCTTCTGAATTCCTCTCAAAATTGTCTACAAAAGTGAATGATTCCTTTCAAGGTTCTACCTTCAAATCCAAACTGTATGCCATGACTTTAGGTAAGATGCTGACTGATGATCCTATGTCACATAGGGCATGTGGAAATTCAATACCCTTAACAGAATATGGTATGGCAAATTTCCCACGATCACTCTTCTTCTTCAATGTAGTTCTCTGTCTCATCTTCTCACTAACATAGTGAAACATTCTCCTAATTTCTTCTTCAGTCTTTCTAGTCTCTCTGAAGAACATCCACAGTCTGTAGGTATAATAAACCTCATCAAAAAATTTCTCTAGTGGGATTCTGAGAACTCTCTTAGTGAAAACATCTATCTCCTTATCAGTTGGTTCTCTCTTGAGATGCTTAGGAACTTTTATTTCCTTCTCCTCAGAGTCTTCTCAGTAGTGTTTCCATCAATGTCCATGGGTTCTGGTGTAGGATTGGGTGGGTTGATCGATGCCTGCATCGGCACTCGACATGTGAAAGTGCCTGATTGATTTATTGGAGTAGGATCGTATCGAGGGTTTACAAGCTCTGTGTGTCGATCGACAGTAAAGAAAGAAGGGATGAGTAGATTCAGGTGTTTCTCTGCGAACTCCTCGTGGGTCATGATCCGAATGGCATTGCATGTTTTGGACGATTCAGTAAGCGTCGGTCGATCATAATTGTAACCCGCCGATTGATATCTCCCGAACTCGATCAATATGGATGCAAACCCATCGATCGATTCAAGAATGGAACTTCGAGATCACGATAAACTTCCTCCTTAGGCTCGTCCTCTCCCATCTTTATATGACGAATATCTTGCCAGAAATCAGCATCTAGTATGGCATTGACGTGGTGTCTCATAGGTTCATCCCCTTCTTGCCTCCTGACAGCTTCTTTAGTCTGAACTACCTGAGTCTCAAGCTTCCTGACCTGAGTGCTCAAAGCTCCAATTTTAGTGTCCAACTCCTTGTAGACAGTATCTATCTTCCCATTGAACTCCACTGTCAGCCTCTGCTGTCCTTGAAGAACCTGATCAAGCATATTTCGATCTTGCTCTTGAGTCTGTGGTGGTGGGTTTTGGTAGAAAGAATTTCCATACCCCTTGTTGTTGCTGTAGTTGTTGTAGGGTGTCTGAAACTGTGGATTCTGGTTGAAGTTTATGTTCCCAAACTGGTTCCCAGACCTCTGAAATCCAGTTCCTCCAATGTAATTCACATTGCTAACTCTGAATCCTCATCATCTACACCTTCTGATGAGAAAACAAGCCTCATAAGTAGCTGATTGAGCTTTTACTTCATCTAACTGTTCTTTCCCAAGGAAGACTACAGATTTCCTCCTTTCAGAATCAGTGTTCTTGATATTGCTGTTGTTTGCTATGTTCTCAATAAGCCTCACAGCTTTCTCCAGATTCCTAGTGTTGAAGCTTCCTTTTCTGGCTGTATCAAAATCACTCTGATACTTCAAAGCTATTCCTCTAAAGAAAGTACTAAGCAGCTGTACTTCATTAAACCCATGGTGTGGACAATCGCGCTGGAAGAACTTAAATCTCTGCCAAGAATCTTTAAAAGACTCTCCAGGCTTTTGTGTGAAAGTAGCAATTCTGCTCCTTAGTTCCTCTGCTCGTCCCTCATCAAAAAAATTGCACAGGAACGCATTCATGATGTCAGCCCAGGATGTAAGAGATCCTGGTGGTAACTGCTTGAGCCAATGTGCAGCCTCTCCAGCAAGTGAGAACTTGAAGAACTTACAAAATAAGTAGTCCTCAGGGACTACTTTAACTCTGATAGCAGCAATGAGATCCTTGAACCTCTCAAGATGGTCCATAAGATGCTCATGTGGCGTCCCACAGTAGGGTACCTGTGCCACAAGTGTGTAGTACTAAGGTTTCAACTCAAAATTCTCCCTTTGGACGTCTGGGAGACAAATAGCTGACCGATTGGCGTAGTACTGATCTGGATGGTTGTAGTCTGCCAAAGTCTTAGGTCGAGTATCTCCCTCAGTGTCAGGTTCAGGGATAATGTTACCTTGAGTATCCAGTTCTGACATGTTGCATTACGCAGATGACCCTCCTGGTCATATGGGTTTCCATCCGCGTGCGCGGTTAGAATCAAAGGCGCAACCATGTCTCGTGGCTAAGAATCGATCGATGTACGTTGATCGGTGTCAGTCGATGTCAAGTGATCAGAATCGGTCGACGAAGAGTGGTCTGTGTCGATCGATGATGAAACGAGATCGGTTGAGGTTTGACGAGAATCGGTCGACGAAGGTAAGGTAGCGTCGATCGATGTGGAACATTCGTCTTTGCAGATCAAGCGTTCCAAACTAGCAGGATCTTCTGAAAATAAGAGTTGTTTTTCATGGTTGCTTCTGGTTATGCTATGCATGCACCTAAAAAGAAAGGAGGAAGAAGATCTTGAAGCAACAATGGATGAAGCATCAGCTACTGAGTCAAAAGTATTTTTCACTGATGGGACTAGAAAGGAGTGGGACAATCTAACTACGGCTGATTTGACACCTTGCTATGAAGCACCCATGATCATTGCTGCTCATAATTGGATTCCATCTACATACAAGATGCATGTGTCTCTGGACAGGGCAAGACTGATCTACAAGATGGCTCATAGAATCCGAGTGGACATGGGAAGGATGATTTTCAAGAAAATCATGAATCTGGGAGTGATACAGAAGAATGACTCTCGCTGGTTGATCTTTCCACGGTTAATTATGGGACTTCTTCTGAAGCAGTATCAGGTTCCATCTTACTCTGGTGACAAGGTTGATCGCATCATTGCTTACAAGAAGGCTAAAAGAGTAGGAGAGATCTATGAGCAATGCAAGGTTAAGGGAAAAGCCAAGTAGGACTTGAAAGGGAGGAAGTCAACTCACTCATCTCATCAGCCACCGTTTGTGTCACCAACTCCTACACCAAGTTCCAGAACTAGACCTTGCCGAGTTTCTGTATACGAGCTAGGATCCATTGCTGTTCCTCAGTGCACACTCACAAGGGCTGATTTGCAAGCTGCCTTACAGTACACAGCTCGGGTTCTTCAGACTTTGACTGAGTTGTTCAGGAGCTTCAAAACTTGGTGCCAGGTTAGGATTCTTTTTCGTTTTCTCATTGTTCTTTAATTTCTTGTGTTTTTAATCGTGTGCTCACAAACAGGGGGAGAAACTGAAGAATGAGTGGTATAAGGACCTAAGTTTTTGGGAGAGCAATCATTTTCTTTAAGCATGTTGTTTTTAAAACTGCACCACTTGTTGTGATTCTCTTATGTTTCAGACAATGTCGGTTTATGGGGGAGTTTTTCTGTATTATCTATCTTGAGATGTACTAATGCTTGAATTCGTGTTTTTAAGATAATCTAAGTATGCTTTTGGTTCTTGATTGGTTTGATTATATTAAGAGTTAGTGCAGCATGTGTGGTTGTGTGTATGTGTGTGCTTGTTCTTCTATCTCATCTAAGGTACTTGTGAGACGACGAATCAAAAAAGTGGAGATTGAAAATGTATGGTCAAGACGATGGTGTAGCAGATCAAAAGTAGTTCATGAAGTGCGACATGAACTACGACGTGAGGTGATATAGTTGTAAGAAACACGTCACAAAACGAAGTCATTAAAAGGAAAATTTAATGAAGAGACTGGTAAAAAGAAAAAAGCTTGAAGAGGAAGCAATCGACTCAAAGAAAAAGGAAGATTGGGTTAATCGCTGAAGTAAAAGAAATGGAAAGTTTTCATTAGGTAAAACTCTAGGTCTAGGGTTTCCTCTACGATTATAAAAGAGGTTCTTGGCATGGTGTAGCCGTTCAACACACATGGAGAGCTTTTAGCAATAGAGGTTTTGTACGTCCGAATAAGGAGAAGCACAACAACTAGGGGTTAAGGGTTAAGTGGTTGAAAGACTATCATATGTCTGTTAACGTGTAGTACTAGTCAGCAAGTCAATGTTTGTCTTAAGCTTAATTCAAAGATTGTTTTTATGCAGAACTTGTATGTACTTTTCAAAGAATCAATCTAGTCGAATTTCTTGAAATTATTTATTTCTGAATTACTGTGTTGTAATTTGTGTAACTCATTTATCTTATTTTTATTAATAGAGTAACGGAAAATGATGAGAGCTTACAGGAGAATGACGAAAGGTGGAGAGAGAGAGAGCGAGAAGCGATAGCATCGATGCGTAAGTCACGATCGGAGAAAACACCGTCTCCGCCATCTTCTTCTTGAAGGATATTCATATTCGTCGTCTAACACATAGTGGTAAATCGGTCAACCCAAGTCAACCGAACCGAGCTAACCGGGATTCTCGGTTTTCAGTTTTCTGTACAGATTATTGCTAAAACCCGGTTCGATTTGGCCCACACCAACTGATCAGTCTTGATCAAATTCACGTTTCACGTGCTCTCCACATGGTGTTTTTTTTTTTTTAATTCCATTTTCTCAGACTTTTCTTCTCCGATCCCAATCATATCTCCTCTGCTTCATCTCTCACAGAGCTCAAAGATCGTCTTCGTCGATGAGACAATCAAATCAGTCCGTATCACAATGATTCGCATTTAAGCGAACTACAAACAATGCTTGGCTTAGAAGAAACTCCTCGAGAATTCGGGTAAGCTTACCTCTGAAGCCCTAGATCGAGTTGTCTGGTGTCTGATTCGAATTTTTTTCGTCTGGATTCAAGAGATGCAGTTAGTTCCTAGTGATGATGATGACCGGAAGGAAGAACAGATTCTAATCGACGAATCTACATCCTCGGAAGAAATCGTAGCAGCGGAAAGAGGAGGTGATCGTGTTGTAGAGGAAGATGAGGACGACGAAACTACGCATCTCGTTGCTGGAGATCAACCACAATGTCGAATCTGCCTTGACGTTGGAGGTATATAATAAAAAAAAGGCCCTTTCTTTCTTGATCTCAAAACCAAAGGAGACTGACTTTGATGATGATTACTGCAGGGGATGATCTGATTGGTCCGTGCAATTGTAAAGGTACTCAGAAGTACGTCCACAGATCTTGTCTCGATAACTGGCGATCCACCAAGGTAAATAATTATAATTATAATAGTTGCTTTGCTGTCAAGTTTCCTTCTTTGACTGGCCCTTTTATCTCGTCGACTGTTTTATTATTATATATGTATATGTTTCAGGAAGGTTTTGCGTTTTCGCATTGTACAGAGTGTAGAGCTGTCTTCAAACTCCGACCCAATGTGCCTCCTGATAGATGGTGGTTGAGATTGAGGTTTCAGCTTCTCGTTGCTAGAGATCATGCTTTCATCTTCATCACTGTCCAGATGGTAATTTACTTGTTTTCCCCAACTTGCTTCTACACTCTGCTTAGCTTGGATTTTACTTGAATCGCCTCATGAGAGCACAAACCCATAGTTATAGTTTCCACATCTGTTTGGCGCTAGAGCACTCAGCTTCTGGTTGCTAGAGTTGAATGCATTCCTCGCTGTCCACATGGTTTCATTACTTGTTCTCCTAAGGAGAATCTTGTGTTTATTACTAGAATCAATTCATAAGAACGCAAACCGACACAAGATATTCCTTATGTGAATTTTGATTTGGATGATACCTGTCGTGCTAAGTCTACTGCATTTATATTGATAAACCAAGTCTTCATGTATCAACAGGTTGTAGCATTCTTAGGGTTACTAGTTTACAAGTTCTACGGTGAAGAACTACGTGAGATGTTTGGTTATGAGGAACATCCTTATGGCTTCTACACATTAGCTGGTAACTCCTCTTCTCGCTTTCTATAGTTCAGCACCATCATCTCTGAGCTATGGGTCTTAATCCAGTAAGTCTGTTTCATATGGCAGTTTTGGCCATTGTCTTGGTAGGACTGCTTTACGGGTTCTTCATCGCAATTATATGTGGTCAAAGGATCAATGAGCGGCATTACCATGTTCTTGCCAAACAAGAACTCACAAAGGTCTGGTTTCTTGCAGTTTATCTTTTCTCTATTTACTTACCGTGTTTGGTTTTCTTGATATACAACATTTTGTTTACTTACCAGGAGTATATAGTTGAAGACCGAGACTGCAAGAATGTACCCGAGCTTGACCAGAGTCATGTAATGGAACTTAGAATGTTGGGACTTTATTGAACAATAAAATACGAGAAAAGAACTCGCTGAAACTATACTCTTCATTTCACTTGTAAATTATATTCTTCATTGATTTTAAGGTTGTTTCAACGACTCTTGTCCAGTAATCTTTTTGAAGTTTATTTTCTTTATACTCTTCGTTGGTGGAACTGTGAGGTTTACAGTAACGTATTGGATGATCATTATTGAAGAAGCTGAACAGATGAAAGAATATTTCTCATTGACCTAAAATGTATAATGGTTTTCTGTTTATACATAAGAATATTTCTAATTGACGTTCTAAAATGTACAATGGCTTTCTACTTATGCATAAAGGTTTAGGCAAAAATAAACCGAACCACTAAACTCTTGGGGTCCAATTGGTAATGACTTTTGCTTTAGGCTTTGACTTTAGAATTGTGGCTGTAGAGATTTTGACTTTAAAAGATAGAATTGTTAGTTTAGAGAAAGTTAAAATCGTGATTGGTACTCAAAGTTTTAGAAGCTGTGACTGTCATAAACATATGTTTATAATTCATTTTTCAAAATGTATTATCTATTTTTTATTTATACAAGTTCATAAAATATATTGGGTAGTTTAAAAACAGAAAATTAATCAAATTTATCAACAATATATTTTATTTCTTTATTGTAAGAATTTGAAATTGTAATCAACAGAATATTTTTTTTATTAAATTTAAAATAAGATAATAATTTATTAAATAAATAAAAATTATTAAAATTAAATTTAAAATAAGATTACAATTTATTAATAAAACAAAAAAATATTAAAAAAATTAACTGGTTTTAGCCCATATGATGTTTGCATTCTCATCTCGAACACCTTCGTTGATGTAACTATGTGCCTATTCCAGTATCTTCGTTGATCTCTTCCCGACACCATAACAGGAACATGAGTTCCATCGATTGCACCAATAAATCCTTTGTAAGCCAATAATACTTATTTTATTGCAATTTAGGATGAACTTGCATAAGACGCCGGATCGGGAGCAAACATATCAGTGGCCATTGATACAAGTGCAACAAGTACCTCATGGGACTTTATGGAAATTGTTTCTGCTGAATGACCAAATGTATGCATTTTGAATCTTTCGTTAAATGTTGTTAAACCCTAAATCAAAAGAATATTATGACTTACTACTTTCACTCATCTATATTGAAAAAAATTCAATTTTATTATATTATAATTTATATCATTTGTAACTTTATAATTACATAATTTCAATTTTTTCGTTATCAAAATATTTTTTTACAAAATTTATAAATTATTATAAAGATGAAATATACGAGAAGACTTTCCTAGACGTCTTGCAGACACTTACAGTATCTCATAAGACTCAGAAGACTTTCTGGGATTATAAACGTAAAAAATGAAATTTTGTTTGGTTATAAGGGACTAGTTGTAATTTCAATAGCCTTTTTGATTACTTGCATTTGATAGGTTTGGGTATACTTTTGTATTTAAAATCAAGTTTTGAGTCATATGCGGCAGATTTTCCTAAATTATTAGTTAAATGTACTAGTCAAAGAAGTTCCTAAGGATTAATACGTAAGGATATACAGTAAAACTTTTATAAATTAATAATGTTGAAACTTTACAATTTTATTAATTTATAGAGATATTAATTTACAAAAATTTTCTGTTTTAGATTTTTTGTTTTAATATATTTATTCTAAGATAAGAAAAATCTTTGATTTTAGTGTATAAACATTAATTATTATTATTTTGAAATGTGATATTTATATTAACTTTATTTTATTATTTGGTATATATAATATATATTCCATAGAATTTAAATATGTTTTAGATATAACAGTACTAAATATCATCAAAAATATATTAAATCTTAAGAAAATATAAAGATTATTCCATTGTGAATATAAAACGTACAATATAATGATAGATGTTACTTATAAAAAATATGTATACATATAAGTTATTATATTATATATTTTATTAATTTATAGTTTTTAATGGGATTATATATTATAGAATTTTAGCAATAATTATTATATTACTATTTTATCGATTTTGGTCAAAATTCTGAACCGGTCCAAGTTAGGACCAATGAAATTTATTAATTTATAGAGGTTATTAATTTATCAAGTATTAATTTATAGAGGTTCTACTCTATATACTAACATACCCTCCCTCAAAATGATTAACACTAAGGCTTGAAAAGGTTTGAAATAAATATCCGTTGAAGAATGGAGCGAAATGGTCCAGATGCGAAGCTTTGGTCAGTATATTGGCATGTTGATTTGAAGAAGACCCATGAAGGAGCTTCAAGAAGCCAAGTTTGAGTTGTTCGCACACATTATGACCATCAATCTCGATGTGTTTCATTTTCTCAGGAAAAATGGGGTTAGAGGTAATGTCAAAGTATCTACTAGGACACTACAATGAAAGTGTGTTGAACCAAGAGTGAATCTTTTGGCGATTTGATGAGTGATTCTTTGAAATGGATTCGGCGTTTCCGCCGGGACTGTCAGGGTCTCCGACGGGAATAAAGGGTAACCAGATGATACAGAGCGAGGAGATGAGAGCGGCGAACCTAGCGGTGACTACTAGCAGTGGAAAAAATCATAAAGGAAATACGGATTTGGGGGTTTTGGAAGCTAAGGAGGGTTTAAGGTTGGAGAGTCCGAAGGAAGTCTTAGAAGCTGATTCAAAGGGATCTGATCCAAAAGGAAAAGGGGGAACGTCGTGGGTACTGAATATAGTTGAGGAAACTATTAAAAAGGATAAAGATATTGAGAGGGAAGTTGAAGATAATGAAGGTAAAGAAGATAACATGGCAGAGAAGGAAAGTGAAACTGAGAAGAATCAGAGGGTGGAGATACCAACAACTGAGGGTAATCATCACTAGGGCATTGTGGGTATTCAGAATACTCTTGAAAATTGACCAGATTTGGCTAGTGCTACCAAGTCCAGACCTTTTTTACCTAGAAGATAAAAAGCGATGCATAAAGTTATCCAAGGTACAAATAATGTGGGAAATGCGGGGAGGCGGGGTAAAAACTCTTCTCAATGACTGGTTTTTTCTGGAATGTTTTTGGCTTCAATAAGCAATCTAAGCATGCGGTTGTAAAAAAGTGGATTCATGAGAAAGGTTTGTTATTTGGAGGGTTGGTGGAAACGAGAGTTAAGGAGAGGAAATCGGTTCAGAGCATTGATTTGATTTTTCAGGGTTGGTCAGCTATAAGCAATTACAAGTTTAGCAGAAAGGGGAGAATTTGGGTGGTTTGGAGTCCTCAAGTTAGAATGACACCGGTTTTTAAATCTGATCAGATTATTACAATGTCTGTTTTGCTTGAGGGAGAAGAGAGTGAGTTTTTTTGTTAGTTTATCTATGCTGAAAATGATGCAGAAAATATAAGAGATTTATGGAGGGATCTCAAAGACCATCACGACTCTAGAATGTTTTACAATAGAGAGTGGGTTATTATGGGGGATTTTAATGAATTTCTGGATGGAGATGCGCATTCTAATTATCAGGATTCAGGATTAATTACTTCTGGTATGAGATATTTTGAGAGCGTTATTCAACACTGCAGACTTCTGGATATGGGTTTTCAGGGTCCGAAATTTACCTGGTGTAATAAGCATGATCAAGGGACTATAAGTAAGAATCTGGATCATATTCTTGTCAATGAAACTTGGCTTAACAGTCGCACTAGTGCTTATGGTGTTTTTGAAGCAGGGGGTGTTTCTGATCACTTGCAGGGGAAATTTCATTTGGATGTAGAGGCTGCTGGAAAAAGGAAACCATTTAAATTTACCAATGTTGTTGCTGAGACTTTCGATTTCAAGAATTTAGTTGCAAACTATTGGAGAGATACTCAACCTCTGTTCCAGTCAACCTCGGCGCTCTTTAAATTTTCAAAATATCTTAAGGTCTGAAGCCTCATCTTCGATCTCTGAGCAAGCATAAATTGGGTGGTCTTACCAAAAAAGTAAAAGAGGTTTTCAGTGATTTATGTGAGAAGCAAGAAAGATTGATGGAGGTTCCTTCTCTTGCAAATAATCAGGCAGAACACGAGGCGGCTGTAAGATGGCAACGTGTTTCTGATACTGAGGAGAAGGTTTTGAAGCAGAGATCCAAGTTACACTGGTTCCAAATTGGTGATAGAAATAATAAGGCTTTTCATAATGCTGTGAAAGTCAGAGAAGATAGAAATGATATTCGAGAAACTAAACGACTGGATGAGAGTATTGTTTCTAAGCAGGAAGATATCAAGAAGGAAGCTGAAAGTTTTTTTAATGACTTTCTCACTTACAAGCCGATGGATGTTGTGACCAAGCCAGTGGTAGACCTTCAAAACTATATTCCTTTTCGATGTAATATATATATATATATATATATATATATATTCATTATTTAATTTTAAGTCATGTATAACATTAATATAATTTTTTTTTTTAAAATGAGAGAAGTAACTAGAAATATATGGTTAAATATACATATGTTCGGTTATCTTCGGATATTATCCTTTCGAGTTCGGATATTATCCGTTTGAGTTCAGATATTATCCGTTCGTTTTCGTAATTAGTCTCTCCTAATTCAATATCTATTCGGGTATTTTGTTATTTTGGTTTAGATTTCTTAAATCGGATTCATATATTGGGTAAAGTGTCCAACTCAAGTTCAGTCCAGTAAAGTATATAGATTATGGAAAGTGATGATTCTTATTAGAGGCTTTGTACAATATATATATACGACAAGAGAAAGTACTAGGTCTAAACTACCTTAAGTCCCTATAATTACACATATCTCCAATATGCCCCTCAAGGTGGATGGGCCTTGTACACTCCAATCTTGTTGCAAGCTTGATAAAAGTGGTTCTGCGGGAGTGGTTTTGTCAATGCGAGTTGATCGCGTGTAGAGACATGTGATACACGTAATTGGCCAGCTTGAATCATGTTCCTCGTGAAGTGATAATCTAGAGAAATATGTTTCATACGAGAATGGAACACCATATTTGAACACAGGTAAGTAGCTCCCACATTATCACAATATATAACCGGAGCTGTAGGTAAGTCAATGTGAAGATCAGAAAGCAAGGAGCAGATTCAGGTTACTTCGGAAGCTGTATTTGCAACTGCAGGATACTCAGCTTCGGTAGAGGAGCGTGAAACTCCTTTCTGCTTCTTCGATGACCAGGAAACAAGATTTCGACCTAGATAAATAATATACAAGTTCCTCGAGACGT